TAGTTGGAGATATTAACACCCCCTTCTTCATAAATGACAGATGAGGCATAAGCCCTTAATTTGTCTTTGACTTGGGAGGTTGCTCCCAGGAAAGAATGAGGCAGAAGACCTGGTCTAATCTCATTTTCAACATGATGGCTATATCTCTGCTAAAAAGAATAATAATATGTATTAGGAAGAGAGGCCTTATATATAGAACATGTTCTAAAAGGATGTTTCTGGTTGAGTATTTCTTTATTACATATTTTGTAAATAAATATAAAATGTGGATTTATGAGGTATGGGTCCCTGGAGAAGCTCACATAAGCTACACAATTCCCTGGGAGTATTAAATAGAGATGTTTATAATTCAAATGCAAATAACCCTGCAAAAACTCACTTGTAGGCCTTATCTCCTACTGTGGGCCATAGAATATGTGTCCAATAAAGGAAATCACATGCAAAGCTGAAATCCATGTCTCTGACCTCTCCTTGCTTTGTCTGATCCTCTTGACTGCCTGCTGTATTTTTGAAATTAACAATAAAGCTTCACAGCAGTAAGTTTTCTGATGTGTGTGAGTGACTTGCAACATAATGCTGTGTGTTCATTCAATAGAAAAAGTAGAGGAAAATTAAGTATAAAAAGTTTAAAAAGACTGTCAACCAATCTAAATTAACTGATATTTATAGAATACCACACCCAACAAGTGAAGAGAGCATACCATTTTTAGGTGGACAGGGGAAGTTCACCAAGATAAATGATGTAGTGGGTCATAAGACAAGTTTAAATACATTTAAAGTATTGAAATCATACAGAATTGTTCTCTGGTTACAATGAATTTGAATCAGAAGTCAGTAACATGAAGGACAGATGGAAAATCCTCACAATTTAAAAAAGTTAGCAACACACTTCTAAATAATTCATGAGTCAAATGGGAAATAAGAAAAACTTAAATATTTTAAACTGGATAACAAGACAATATGTCCAAATTATTTATGGAATGCAGTTAAAGTAATGCTTGCAGAGAAATTGCTTTAAATGTTTATGCTTGAAAAGAAGACCTAGAATCAATCACCTAATTTTCTACCTAAAGAACCTAATAAGAGACTGCTGAGAAGATGGCGGAGAAGGATGCTTGTAGCTCACCCTCTCCCACAAATGCACCAAGACTCACATCCACAGACCCACTCAGCCAACCAGAGCACCTGCCGAACTCCAATAGAACATCGCCCTCTTCAAAAGATAAAGACGCCAAAAATCTGGTAGGAGAAAAGGAAAAAAGAAAGAACAAAAGGGAAAGCAGAGCGGGACGGGTCCCGCCGGGAGGGAGCGCAAAGGAGGACTGGCGCTCATTCTCTGGGTCTCCCCCTCTCCAACTGAGAGGCCAGCAGGACGGAGGAGGAGCCTCCGAGGCTCGGATCTATACGGAGCAGCCCTTGACGACAGAACTAAGTTAAATGGGCACAGAGGGTCCCCGCGACACCCAGCCTGAGAC